AAACAATTTAAAAACATACATCATCCCTTTTCCGTACTCTATCTTTCATTCCCTTGTTTCCTCGACCTCCTCTCACCTCCCTTTTGTATTCCACTTCTGTTAATTTTTTCAGCAAATCCTTTCCATCTTTATCCATTTTCTATCATATTGTAAATAACGTATTTTTTAACCTTTTTTTCCATTAAAATTAAAATACTTATATATGCTTAACTCCTTATAACATTTCTGCTAAGCCCATAAAAAATCATTCCACCATTTTTCTATCACTTATTAGTTTTACCATATGTCTATATATAAACTTTAAATTTTCCAATCTTCTTCCACCATCTCCTCTCCCTGGTTTCGGATTCTGCCAGTCCTTTCCGTCAACTCCATAAAGTCCATCAACCTGGTGATCTTATGTCCGAGGCTCTTAACTCTTTTCCAAGTCCCTTCTGCAGGTCTTCTTCATTTTCTTTAATGCTAAAGAGCAAATCTCGGGGAAACTCCAACCTGTCAATCCTTTTCTTCCTTCTGAACAGATCAGCCAAATTTCCATAGTTGAAGCTACAGTCCATAAAGTATTTCAGGACATATTTCAAGATTCCTCCAAATCCAAAGGCCCCCAAAACTTCAATCTCCTCCAGGCCCGAGTCCATGTCCCAAAAGTCAGTTAATTCCTGCATAGAGGGATCTTTCCAACTTTCCTTCTTTAATCCAAGCCAGGATCCATTCCTCAAAGTCTGACTTTTCCTAGATTCAATCATAAAAGGCCTCATAGTCCTCAATTTGCTTCTGTAAAGCCACGGATCCCGCTTGTATTACTTTATGTTCAACAACAGCAGCTTTCTCCTTCTCCTCCTTCTCCTCCACCATTTGTCCTGCCAAAATGGATTCCTGTACCAAGTCCTGAATTATTTCTGTATTGGTGTTCGCTTTTTGACTCAAATTAGTCACTTTCTGTTCCAAATTATCAACTTTAAAAGTCATGTCATCCATCTTCTTGTGAAGCTGTCCCAGCGAACAGCTTATCTTACATAAAACAGTCACAATGACCTCTCCTGACAACATTTTTAAATGGTCCAAGGTCAATCTCTGGTTCTCAGAATCCTTATCTGCAGCTGGAAATCCCCCAGTTACACTCCTATAACAGTTTCAAAAGCTCCCTCTAGAGGGAAACAGTCTCCACTTGTATCAGTTCTTTCAGGCACAACTCAAGCATTAAAGATAGTTTCAATTTTCAGTTACTTTTCCTCTTTTTTAAACACAGAGGAGGACAATGGAAACAGTATCTTACTCTTATTTAGCTAGCTGTCAAATCCGGGCTGTCAATGCACTCTCTCCAAACGTCATCTGGCAGCCCGTTCCCAGGTTCAGAGCAGTGGTAATTTGATTTTTCACTCTCTCCTGCAGGCTCACTAGGTCCAAAATTCCCCCACTTCTCCTGCTTCCAAGGGGGGTTTTGTATTTTAAACCGATGGAAATTTAATCCTTTGCCAAAAGCTTTCAAAGACTTTAACTTGTAACGTCTTTGCTTCAGTCTATTTACAAAAACGGAAGGCGGACTTCCTGTTTATGACCTTCCCGCTTCAGTGCCAAATTAAGGTATTTAAAAGTCCAATTTTCCATTCTACTCACGGGTAGTTGTTTAAAATCCAATTGTCCACAGGAAAAAGTCAGCGCTCTCCGGTAACAGCAATGCGGCTTCACTCCGTGAAAGAAGCAGTCGATTCAAAGCACCATGCCACTCACCCCACGTTGCTCCGGATCCCCAAAACAGGGTTTCCCCGCGAGTAGGGGAGGCGCAAAAGGTGCCAGCCGAATCCCATGGACCAATCTCTTCCCATAACTCATTACGTCATGTATGTCATCTTCAAATCTGTGGAGAAAGGGTGCGCAAGTCAACCGATCTGAAGGATTTCAAAGGGTGCCCAAAGTTTTGAAAATTCAAGTGCAATGTCTCCATTTTGGACCCAGCTTCCATACGGTCAAAAGTGGAACAAAGCAGAGGCTGAAGGAAGGCAGAACGAAAGCCAACTGTACAAATATACTTTCCTAAATAGGCAGTCCCATTTGCAACTGGTGAATTGGGGAGGAATTTTGGTGTGTGTTTTTATGGGAGGGCAAAAAAATTGCATTTTTGGAGGGTGGGTGGGCATGGCTCACTGGGTAAATGCAATGGAACTGATGACAGATACGAATTGCGACTGACATTATTAAATATTAGCAGTTTGCAACAAGATGTTTTTCTTGGTTAATGGATAAAGACCTTTTGAGGGAAAGTTGTAATATGTGCAGTGCAGTCCTGTACATGTCTTCTCAGAAGTAAACCCTCATTGACTTTGGCAGGCCTTACTCCTGGGAAAATGGGATTGGGATTGCAGATGTGCCTTAAATAACACTGGACAGCTTTATTTATAAGAAAAGGGAGCTGTGCAATTGATTCTAATGATTCCTGAAGGAAAAAATGACTGCCATGTAATGTTTTAACCCACAAAAGAGCAAAATGCATACAATTACAGATAGGTTGCAATGTTTAACCCAAGACTGTTCAACCCAAAATCCACAGCTTGCGTTGGTGGCATTGTGATGAACAGCATGGAATCTCTCTCTCCCTCCTTCTCTCCATTTCTCTCTTTTAAAAAGATGACATTTTCAAAATTGAAATTTGGCGTTGTGCTTGTTATCAAGGCCAGTTGATCGTGTTGTGACTCACGCTTCTGTGGTCTGCCTTCCCAGATGATGCCTGCACAACAGCATCTTATCTACTGCAGCAACATAAAAATCAACTCCGAACACATTTTATGGGCTATTGTTATATTACATCAAGGCATCTGTCTGTCTCGGGAGACAATGGAATGTGCCTCTGAGGGTGAAGTCAAACTACTGCATTAGCAGCACCAAATTGGCCTCTCCAGGGCACAAGCCTAGACAGTGTGTTTGGAGGTCCTGGGCTGCCCAGACAACAAGAACCCCCTTTCAGTCTCAGGGATGTGGCCCAAAGTAAAGCTAAGCAATACATTTGGCACCAGCTTGGCTGCAGGAGTTGCCGGAAAGAGACTTAACAAGGCACCATCCAATCATTTTAGAGACTCCGCTCAGGATTTGTGTAGGCTTTACTTCTTGACCTTTTCTTCTCTGAAGGATATCCTGCAAGGCAGCGGAGGGCTAGGATCAGAGTTTTCTTCTCCTAGATGGGCTGCCTTCCCAGCTGGATGAGCCCCATCTGCCCCTGGCATAAAGTGGTTGTAATACTAACAGTTGTCTACTCTGTCTGGCTGCAAGTCTCAAGAATAGCTCTTTCCTAGCAACTGCTACCTGAGATTCACATACATGGCTATGCTGGGGATGGAGATGTCCTTTACACACCAAGCCACAAGTTCTGCCATTGAGTGATGGCCTTTCCTCCCATTTGCCAAAGCATATGACATGTGTGGATGAACCCTAGTAATTAAACGTTGTTAATGTATAAAATAATATTATTGTATCTCGTAACTGTCAAAATGTTTGTATAAACAGCATATGTCTTCCAGGAAAATGAATCAATAGATTGCCATAGCAACTTAGAAGCGTCTATAATTCTTCTGAAGGCAGAGTTCAATATTCTACTGGTGCAATTTTCACCACCCTCCTCTATTTAACAGCAGAGTTGGAAACAAAAAATGTGATTTTTCTATACCTCTCCATGTAAAGAAAGGGAATTATTTATGCTGTCTGCTTTCTTTTTGATTATTTCTTTAACTTGCCATTGTGCAGAATGTGCAATTCTCCCCGCTCTCTCCCAATTTTATTATGATTGCTTGATTATTTAAAACCCATGCTTACCAAATTCAGTGCTTTGACCCACTTTGGTGCTGGTGAGCTATAACTTTGTGTCTAACAAGAAAAGGGGGAGGGAAGCTTTTCCCAATCAATTTTCTCTTCTTTTAGCAGCTAAGACATATTTTCCCTTGACTGTTTTATTTGCTTTGACACAATGAATGCCGAGTGAAAACCCAAAGTAATTACATGGGTAGCTACTGAGTCAGTTCTCTGAATATCTAAATAATCTTTGTTTGAGACCCACTTTTTGGATTTTTAAAAAATGGGTAATTCCTTGCACTGTAAGTTTTGCTCATTAAATATGAAAAATATGGGGAAGAACCCATGCAACAGTCACTTGTTGGATTCCAGTTCCCATAATCCCTGAAGCTGCTTGGGGCAGATGGAAGGTGTAGAACAAAATATACAGCAGGTCAAAGGATGGGAAAGGCTTCTATAGGCCAAAGAGAGTCAAGTGGAAAAGTCTATTTAATTTCATTTTCATTTTTGTCAGAAAACATCTGTATCTTTATGGTAAGCATTTAACTACGTCTTGAAATTATGACTATTTCCCTTCCACATTGACAGCTCAGAAAGAGCTGTGCAAAAGCCCCCATCCAGCTGATTTTTAAGATCCCAGGCAACTCTCCAGTCTCTGAGCTAGAACAAAGCAAACAGCTGAAGGGTGCTTCTGAGGCTTGCGAGGAAGGGAGCTGCACAACACTGGAGTTTGTTTGACAAATCTGGGAACACCCAGATAGATTGGGCTAAAGCTGAGGCAGAGACCCTTTATTTACTGTCTCTAATATACTTCCACTAGCCTATTGGGCAGGTGAGAGCCACACCCTAGACACCTTCACTTTAGCAATGTGATTTTCATGGCTGTTTTTCATAGGACCTTAAAATGTTCCTTCTCATCAAGCACAAAATTTCAACAGAAAATCTGGCTCAGCTAATCTCTAAGGCCAAACTGTACCCTCTGAACTGTCAGGGAACTAGTTTTTCATAGCTGGATTCCATGTCATGATCCAAGTGTCCATCAGTGATCTGAACACAGTTCCAGATGAGGAATGGGCAGTGGTGTGTATAGAGGAGGCAATGGACCTGAGCTCCACCACTGAAGCAGAGAACCTCAGGCCTGAAGCCATTGAGCCTAGACCCTCAGAGACCTCAGCCCCCAAGCAAAGGTCCATCAAGAGGCCGATATACCTAGCTCCAAAACCTGTAGTACAATGGTAGAATGTCTTCCTTTTATGTAGAAGTTCCCAGGCTCAATCCCTGGTATCTTCAGGTAGGGCTCTTCTTTGAAATCTTAAAATAAAATAAAATCCTAGATGCTAGATGTTCCGACTCAGTATAAGGCAGCTTCCTATGTTCCTGTGTGAGGACCAATTAGGACAGTGTGTCAGGCTCCATGACTTCATGGAAGGACAATTGCATCCTTGAGTAGAGCCTGAAAGGTATAATCAGACTCAGGGAACATAGAATAACTCAGTTGAGAAGGAGCTGTCCATAGAACAAGTTAGCTGCCTCCTGGGCTCTGTCCAGGGTCCTGAAATGCCTACCATTGACCTCTAGAGTTTGCAGGCATGCTAATTTTTTACTGAACTCTTTCTCTCTGATTCTTGCCTCTTCCTTCCTTCTTATACAGACTGTTTTCTGGATGATGTTGTTGGTTGTTGTTGTTGAACATGGAGTTAGCACAGGCATGGGGACTCTCCAGTGCTTGGACCTAATTAGACCCATCAGGCATCTCCATATTAGATGTGACAGTTTTGGCCAAGTCATTCAACCCTCCCTGCCACCTGATGTCATATAGGACATAAAATGAGGCTGGGGCCACATGTGGTTCCTAGAGCACTGGTTGCTCAGCTGGGTATTGGCATCAGGAATTGCTGTCAGTTGTCAACAGTGCCAGTTAGCTATACCAAAGTAGTATGCTTTGTGTTGTTTTATTTTCCCTTAGGTGGTATCCAGTGCTGGATGCAATGAAATTATTAAACCTGATTTACTTAAATTCATTAATTTCAGTGGGTATACTCTCAGTAGAAGTTAGTTGAATACAACCCCTTTGTTATGTCCCCCTGGCCCTACTCAACCATAATTGCAAGTGACTTCTGTTTTTGCATGCCTCCTCCTTGTTTTCTATTAGCATTTTTGATCCTGCCTGAAACTAAGTATTGCATTTAATATTATCCGTATTAAAAGCAATAAATCATTTCAAAAAGAATTTTTTTAAAAAGCTATCTGTGACATGGAGTGAAATGTCAAGGGATGAAATACTAAGAATAATAAAGCGACACAGTGATCTCAAGTTTTATAGCTGATGTTGTAATGGTTTGTGCCTGGTCATAAAGTTGATGTATTTTGTAACCATAAATAAATAAAATTACTAAGTAGTCCTTTAGCCCATGAATCAGGCTGTCATCCTAAACACGGGGACTCAGGAACGGTATGCTACGTCACAGCTTTCTTGTTACTTGCTGTGAGGTAGTAAGCGGGGGAAAGTCCAAATATCCATAATGAGCATGTGTGTGTGTTTGTGTACACCAGGGGTCAGCAAACTTTTTCAGCAGGGGGCTGGTCCACTGTCCCTCAGACCTTGTGGGGGGCCAGACTATATTTTGAAGAGAGAAAACATGAACAGATTCCTATGCCCCACAAATAACCCAGAGATGCATTTTAAATAAAAGGACACATTCTACTTATGTAAAAACAAGCTGATTCCCCGACTGTCCGTGGGCTGGATTTAGATGGCAATTGGGCCGGATCTGGCCCCCGGCCTTAGTTTGCCTACACATGGGGTACACATTCACAGACACACTTCTAAAGATAACTTTTTAAAATGCCCACTTAAAAGCAGACAGTGGAGGAGCCAGCCAAGCCTCTGTCAGGAAAGGAATTCGATTATTTGGGTGTCACATAGGAAGATGCTTTGTACCTGGTCAGACCATTGATCCATCTAGCTTAGTAGTGACTGGAAATAGCTCTTCGGGGTTTCAGACCTTTCCTGCTCTACCTAGAGATGCCAGCGACCGAACCTGGGATCTTCTACATGCAAAACATGTCATCTACTACGAAGCTACAATCCCTCCCTTTAAGTAATAGTCAGAGAAGATAGCTTACTATAAAACAGCCATTCCATTCCCACCAACTAAACCTCTTTCAGAGCTGGAGTGATCATAAGGGACCCAGAGGTTCAGTGAAGGTTTCTGTAGGTGGAGGTCGTCCCTGAGATATCCTGGTCACAGCCAATGCTTCATATGTCAACCAGAAGTTTTTGGTATAATGATAGCTCAGTCAGTAGAGCATGAGCCTCTTAATCTCAGGTCTGTGGGTTTGAGCCCCACGCTGGGCAAAACGATTCCAGCATTGCAAGAGGTTGGACTAGATGACGTTCATGATCCCTACAATTCTGAGATTCTATGTGTGCTCACTTGCCCTGGCCCTCACTCCATACACCCAGTGTTTAATTTCATAATAATCTGACAATAGTATCTGCAAATATGTTCTGGAAACTTATCCAAACTAGCAAATATGCATTCACTTCAGGAAACGTGGGGATGGGGGAATCACATTTGTGTCTTCTCTACCAACACTATTTCCCCCCCAGTCTCTAAAATCTATGAACCCAAATCCTTTCTCCTGCCAGTAATGGTCCTTACCACACTTTGGTTTCCATCAGAAGAATTTGTCTTGAATCACATCTCCTTCTGCACACATATAAACACACCTTTGTAGCTCAGAGTAATGATGTTACAATTGCAATTCATTCGGAGGGGAGGGGGAAATGTTACATTCTCTTGCCCAAGATGAAGAGGACTGGGAGGCAAAAGGTTACTGTCAAGATGCCAGCGGTAAGAATAGATCTGTAATGTTCTGTGTAAATTACCCACCCCGGCCTGTGGAATCATTCATCTAGAAGCAGTATAAGTCCAAACAAAAATAATGGCTTCTTCTTGGACGCATGTGGAAAAATCAGGTATTAAATCTGTCCAAACACATAGAGGCCTCTGCCCCCAAACACTAAATATTTCAAGTTGTATGCTGACCTTTCTGCACCTTTTGCATGTGCTGCTTTGCCGTTACAAAATGCTACAGTGGATGGAAATGTTGTCAATTAAGTAAAAAGGGTGTTTTTATCAACCTTTTCATGTGAGGAATTTAATGACATTTTAAGGTTAAAGGAAAAGTCAAGCATTGATTTGTGCCGTCTGCCTTTAATGTGGCTAATGAATAGAGTTTTCTATAAAACCTTTGTAATCCGTTTTAAACCTTAAGCTATCAAAAGGCTGCTAGTCTCTCCCCCCCCGCCCCGTTCTCCCTAACAAAAAAAACTTTTGACAATTGAAGGCATGCTAAAACAGTCTACAGTATCTATCTATCTATCTATCTATCTATCTATCTATCTATCTATCATCTATCTATCTATCATCTATCTATCATCTATCTATCTATCTATCTATCTATCATCTATCTATTTATTATCTATCTATTATCTACATGTACAGCAACGGGGGAAATGTAGGGAAACAGATTAGAACATGGGTGGCATTTAGTGAAACTTTACTCAAAGGAGACCCATTGGGAGGAATTCAATGTAGTGCTAAGGTGATTGTTCCATCAGTGCAATCATTTCTCCTCTCTCCTCCCCAACCCCATGCACTTTTTTGGGGGGGGTGTCTGACCCCTAAACCAGTTTGGTGGAGGAGAGATGCAGGAGACTGAGCCTGGGACTTCTTTTTGCCAGAAATGGCAACATAAATGAGATGGAACATAATTAACACATGTCACAGAGGCAGGGGCAAAAAATGGATGGATCCACCATCAATGCCTGCTCAGGACGTTTAAGTGCTGATTTGAGATCCTCTGAAAACACACAGTGAACGTACAGGAGGGAGGGCTCCAATGAAGGTTCACGTGGCATCTTCTCAAATATATGACAGCCTCAATAATAGATCTAAGCATATACAAATATGAGTGTGGAACTCTACACTTAAGTGGAAATGAATCACCATTGTCTTCTGTGCTTCCTGGCATTATTTTTCCCTAGTGGCATTCAGAGTCAGGATGCAGGATCCCATTCAGTTCAACAGCTTCTCTGTCTGCTAGTCTCTTCCTGGATTGTCTCTCTTCTTCACCCTTGCAGTGAGAAAGAAATCTTTCCTAATTACAGGTTATGTAATTACTTTAGTGATTGTTGTTCCCCATTACGCTCTCAGAGACATGGTTATTTGTGTAAATGAATGTGTTACGAAGTCAAGAGGTTGGAGCCATAAGCTCATCGTTTGATGTTTGTGGGCATCTTTCCTTCCCGGGTCGCACACCTTTTAATAAAATGTGCGGGGACTTTCATTTCAGAAGGCCTTTAGCAAACGCAACCCAGATAGGAAGGCACGTGGTCTGCACAAAATAATTATTTGCTTTTATGATAAATAATAAATGCATGCTAAATGGTCTTTGCAAATGGATGTAGCATTAAAGGTGGCCTTCCATTCAAAAGTTCATCCACATTTTTGCAGTCAGTGAATGGAAATATGGCACATTTTGCTAAAAGCAAAAGAACTGAATGCATAAGGTCTACATTTGGCTACACTGGAGGCAGTGTAAAGATGGACGCCATCTAATTTATCACCTGTGCAGAGATCTCATTAAAGTGTACTTATTTACAAAAAGAAACCTGAGAAACTTGACAGCAGTGTTCATCTTTCTTGTGATTTGTCCTCATGGCACTATAGTGCTCTTAAAGGACCACTCCCAATTCCTAGTAGCATGACATTGTCCCTCTGGTGAGTAAGGAAATACATGCAACTACTTTATATTAGATTAAACTATTTTTTCAACTAGCCCAGGATGCATCCTGGAAGCTGTAGCCTAGGCCAAATGCAAGGTGTGTATGTGTGTATGGGGGGGGGTACTCCTGGGCAGGTGCCCCATGTCGGAATCTCCGCTGCGACCAAGCTACTCCTCCGGTCGAGCCTTCAGAAGCTCCTCCGACGATGATTAACGACCTGAGCCTTTGATAAGGCTCCAGGCACGTTCCCCATTCAACAGAGTATCAAAGCAGCAGAAGAGACGTGAAATATGAGCTACATTGCTAAGAGTTTTATTTCTAACTACACAGACAGAAAATACATCCTTTCTCTGTGAAAGGCAGAGAGCAACTGGAACACAAAGGAACAGGAAACCAGTAACATCACATCCGTCTTCTGTGAGACTTCCAACAGTCTGGAATGCAAAACAGAGTCTTAGGGCTCCAAGCACTGCACAGTGGCATAAACAGAAACCAACACCCCAGACTCTTAGCTTTCATTTTTAAATATCAACAAATGAAACGGATTTGTAAAAATGTTACATGAAAAAAAAAGTATCTAGCTCTCCTAAGTCTCTAGCTCTCCTAGGAAGGAAGTTATGTGGCAAAATGTGCAGTGACTGCTGTGAAATGAGAGTTAGCCAGACAGAACAATCCTCCCCTTCACCTTGCACAGTCTTCTGGGGTTTCCCCCGACGCATTCCCAAGTCTATTTTTTTTTTGAGAAGCGGGGGGAAGAATCCCATTACACAAGTGGAAGCCCTTCTGTAAGGCTTCTACTTATAGGGCTGGTTAGGAGAATCCTGCCCATAGCATGGTATTCAATGCTAGTTCTACCCCGAAGTGGACCTACTGAAGGTGATATACCTGACTAACTTAGGTAGACTAACCAGTCTACTCAGAATAGGACTTAGTTGAATGTAATCCATAGTATTTGCTTCCTGGTCTCTTTCCTCAGCTCAATTTGAGTTCCTTCCTGCCTATCGACTTTACTTCCCCTCCTTATTTCTTCCCTTTTTGGAAACAGCTTTAACTCCCCTTTTCTTCATCTCCCATTTGCTTTTTGCTTCTTACTTGGACAGTCAAGATGTCTGGTTTCTTATCCCATATGTGCCCACCTGGCTACTTCAATCTGCGGAACCAGCACTGGTAGCACATAATACTCATTCCACAGTAAGAAATCTTTTTGTGTTGCAGCAGCCAAACATTGGAACTCCCTGCCTATTGACATCAGGCAAGCAACTTCACAGTACTCTTTGTTAAGATTCCTGCTCCATGATTGCAGTCATGAGATTGTTGTCTATCACATGACAGTGTATGTTTTGACTCCACAGAGTGGGAAGTGACGGAGACTGGAAGTTTGTGTTACTGTGTTTTGTGAAGTGGGACTATTGTCCTTTGTTCTTTCTCTTTGCTGTCTGATGCTAGAAAGAGAGGGAGCCATGTTGAAGTGCTCCGTGTTTATATGTAAATAAAGTAGATTAGCCAAAATGCTGAGTTGCTGAGTTCTGTTACGCAAACTGCAAACACTCTGTGGATCCCTAAGGGTGCCAATGTCTGTTGACATCGGTCGCTGTGATGTTCGGGCTGAAGAAAGCTTTTGAAGTTCCCGAAGGAACTACCAGTGTTGCAAATATTTTAGCAATGGCACCAACTTAAATGGAGACAAAGGATTGACAGGCACAGCAATTGGAGAAAAAGAAGGTGAAGTTTTATTGCTGAGCAATAATGGACCCAGTTGGAATCCTTTCCAAAAGACTGGGACCCAGAGCATCGAAGTTCTGGGGTTAAATACCATGATCACAGATCATGAGACAATCATGAGACAATCACGAACGCCAGCAAAAATAACCAATAAGCGCATTCAGCCAGGCTCCTGACCATGTGCAGAGTACTACTCCCAACTTCTGCTTTCTTTGTCTGCACAAACAGTCTGACCTTTTCCCCAGTTAGATTGAAAGGAGAATAGAAACTTAAAGCTAGGAGGAACTCCTTAGCTATACTCCCCTGCACCATCTGTTCATGTAAGGACATTGTGGTCAGTCTTTCCTGTTTCATGTACAGACTTAGTCTGGACAAGAGGGGGAGAGATGTACCAGCATCTCCAGATTTATCGCTTCCCCTTTTCTAGGGAGCAAGAAAGGACTGGGGCAAAGTTCGAGCAGTTTGCTGTTAGACTAGGCAAAAGCTTTTTATGATTCAAATGGATTATAAAATCACTGTAAAACTCTGGTTATATATGAGCATATGTGAATATATTGATAACTGATAACTGATTATATGAATAGCATAAGGGTAAAACTCCTCCTCTTGCTTTACCAGGAGGGAGAGAACATGCCAGTCGGGCATGTGTCTCTGCCAGGGTCCTACTCGAGAGTAAGACAGCTCCTGACACTCTCTTCAGTGCCTGCTAAAAACATTCTTGTTCAGGCAAGCTTATTCAGACAATGTGTGTTCATCTTTTCTTTTAGCTTTCTTGGAGCTTATTCAGACAATGTGTGTTCATCTTTTCTTTTAGCTTTTAGGGAGCACTTTGATGTTTTCAATTA